TTTTTTTTTTTTTTTTTGCTCACTGTCCTCCGCCTTGTAAACGACTGCAGGGTGACGGGTGCGGACAGAGCGGCACTTCTGCAATCGGCGCTGTTAAATGTGTTTGTTTTTAGTAACATCCGGATCTGTCCGTCTGTTGTGGCGAATATAAAAGGAGGAAACAAACAAAGAAGAGAGGGAGGTTATGAAAGGAGCTCACCGCCTTCAAATGAGCCAGAGAAATTCATTCTATCTACAGCTGTACAATTCATGCTGCCTTGCTAAAGAGATGGATGCGATTCCTGTCACTGTACCACACAAACACACAGACCCAGTAAACCCCATTAAAGACTTAGTCCTGGCACGGGGGGGGGGAGGGGGTGAGAGGTGATTCCCTGGAATTTACTGGCACTATGAGGGCGAGGAGGCATCGAGGAGGCAGTGTGCAATTCCTACGAGATATTAAGAGTCAGCCCCCGTCTCTGTAGGGGCACTAGTTTTTAAATCCAAACTCAATATACAGACTAAGTTTATCTTGTAGTGTTGTAGGTCACAGAGGAAACACTGCTGCGCCTGTGTTTGACACCGGGCACACGGAGGAGTCAGAGGCAGCACAGGCACGCACGCGGCCACACCCGCAGAAGTTTAAAACTCCAAACGATCTCCGTCCACGAGAGCGTCGCATCGCCGTAATGAAACTCGTGTCACGCGACCGATAAAAACAGGGAGCGGATTGTCTGTTCAGCGGTTGGTTAAAAGGAAACGATTACGAACAGTTTCTACGTCAAGGTAGAGGACTGACGAAAAGCGAGTTTTCAAACTGTAACGGTTACAGCAGCGTTTTCAAAAAGGTCGGGGCAGTGTGGACGGAAGACGTAGCAACAAGCGATGCCTGTTAACAGCAAAAACCTGTTGTGCACGTGTAGCCCGGAGTTTCATGGTTTCACACAGACCATAACGTCTGGAGGCTCAGAGTCACCGACTCTACAAACACCTTCACCTTGTTCTTTACTTTCCTGTGAACATGTAGGAAAATATTTTGTCTGTTGAATTCGAGGAGCCGGTGACGTCAGTAAAAAAACAAAAAAAACAACCGACCGCTCCTTTAATTATTGCACAAGAACTGCTTCCTGCGTAAGACACATGAAGTCATGTTGATGTAATAACCTAGTTCTCTCCGTTTGATTTCCCACAAGGCATTATGGTCTGAATAAAAATATGAAACTTGTAGCCGAGCCTGTGTGTGTGTGTGAGTGTGTGTGTGTGTGTGTGTGTGTGTGTGTGACGCTCAGCAGCCTGGGTTTTCCAGAGACAGCTGTGCCGTCGCCCTCTGCAGCTCTGAGCTCGCTCTTCGCTGGGTGGGAGGTGGTGGCAGCATCAACCCCAAAATAACACCCCCTCCTCCTCCTTGTCCTCCCCCATTTTCTACCTCCCCTCCTCTCCTCCCCACCTCCTCCGTCTTCCCCTCCACCTCCTCGTCTCCCTCGGCCCTCACTTTCTTGTCCTCCGCCTCGTCCCTCTCTCCGTCCGCCTCCATCTTCTGGTCCTTGCTCCAGCGGCGTTTGAAGCGCAGTTTGAGCGGGATGCAGCGCGAGCCGCCGGGGCTGATGGGCGCTGCCTGACCCGGCTCGCTCTTCAGGCCAATCAGAGGAAAGGCCAGGCCGGCACTGCCAATGGGAGGAGTAGCAGGAGTCTTGAAGACCTCATCGTCATCATCGTCGTGGTTACTGTGTGGCGGGAGGGGAGCAGAGCTGCCGGTCCCGTTCGCTTGGTGATGGTTCTTGAGCAGATGATGATGATGAGGAGTTGGGGTGAAGATGTCTCCTTCGTCATCCTCGTTGTTATGATCCATCTCATCTTCCTCACTGATGTCAGTCACTTCCACCTCCTCTTCCGACTCGATGTCAGATATGGGCTCCACCTGCAGAGGAAGAATATTTTACAACATGAAGTTTTATTTTTACGACTCTGACCAGATGTTCATCGTACTCACGGCGTTTGAGGGAAATTCCTCAAACCACATCTCCGTGGAAACACACACACATCCTACGTGTGCCAGCGGACTCACCTTGATCTTCGGCGGCCCCGCAGCCAGGACAGAGTTATTTATCTGCCCGGAGCCAGTGAATGAGGACGACTGGCTGGAGGAAGATGAGGAAGCAGAAGCAGCCAATGAGCTTCCCGAATCCCTCTGTTTGCGCCCGAGCGGGGGAGGCTGCAACTTGAACTTGAATGGAGATGGGTGCTGTTCCTCTCCACCTCCTGCGTGATGGCTGAGTGAATGAGAGAGCGACAGGGGCGCGTGCAGGTGGTGAGTGGCCGGTTTCTCCAGGGTGGGGCGGTGGGGCTGAGGGATGATGATGTTGGGGTAGTGGAAGAAAGCTCGGGGGCTGAGGTGGTAGTTGTAGACAGACTGGGTGTGGGCCTGCAGGTAGTGCTTCATATCCTCTGGGTTGAAGGAAAAGTGGGAGCCCATCATGGGTGAGGAAAGGGAGGGGGAGGGGGTGTAGGGCAGATGGGGGGTGGGGGTCATGGACAGAGCGGGGGACAGATTTGGGGCCAGGAGACTCCCGGGGCCGGGCAGGGGGGAAACAGGGAATGGGGACAGAGACTCTGGGTGGACCCTTGGGGCAGGTCTGGGGAGCCCTGCTGGGTAGACCCTGAAGAGAGAGTCGTGAGGCATGCGGTGAGGAAGCAGACCCCTGAAAGCCCTCTCCGGCCCCACACCTCGCTCATCCACCCCCACGGCCTCCTCCAGCTCCGAGTTGGTGGAGGTGCCATCGCTGCAGTCGCTCACAGAGCCCCGAGCCATGCGACGGGCCACGCTGCTGAACATGCCCGGACTGCGCAGCTCCTCGCTGGAGGAGAGGACCTCTGACGGCGTGGAAGGGGGGAAACGGAAGTGGGTGCCTCCAGTTGGCACCGGAGGGGCGCTCTGAGGAACTCCTCGACCTGCGTGGAAGAAAACATTTTAGTTTAAGTGATCAGAGAATGAAATAATGATGGAAACAGGAAGTCATGAAAATGCCTTCAATACAGAACAATAGAGCATCAATGCTTTTGTGTTAGAGGTCGTCAAAGCGATAAAACTAATTTCAAATGTTCAATACAAACATCTTTACACTTATATAAAGGTATATATACCTATAAGAAAATATGTTTATTATTTCATCTTTTAGTTTTGTACAAACCAGCTTTTTAAAGTGAAGAGAAAAGGAAAAGCAACAAAAGAGAGTAGGTCACTTCTCTCATAACTCCAAGTATTTTACCCTGAGGGTCACAGACACACAAAGAAAACACTGGGTTACACAAAGCCACAAGTTCCCTTCTCTTTCAACCCCTCCTCCCTCTATCCCTCTCTCTCTCTCTCTCTCTCTCTCTCTCTCTCACCAGGGAGACTGTGGCACTGCAATAAATTCTTGGCATCTGTGCACGTGCCAGAATTCAATATTGGAAAAGTCGCTCTTACTGCCATCACAAACATGGGCTGGGTTCCTCTGTTTTTTTCCAGTACCGCTGAGTGCGTGTGTGGTTCTGTCTTTTTAAGAAGCGCACATCTCACAACCATGTGTGACAACAACGGGATAAACTGTGTGTGTGTGTGTGTGTGTGTGTGTGTGTGTGCATCGATCCAGATTGACGTGGGCATGTGTATGTGTGTGTGTGTGTGTGTGTTTAAAACCATCATATGAAACCATCATATCACAACATGTCAGTGTGTGGGCCACATCACACAGAGGCTATAATTAAAGTTTCGTGCCGCACTTATGTCACCAGTATCCAAAGCTCCATATGGGCTGTGTTTACACTGGGTGGCCGGGACCAGAACAAGAGACGACTTCAGAGGAGGGAGAAGAGGACGGATAAACTGGGACGTGGCACATGGATGTCTTCGAGGACACACAGACCGGCCTCTGAGTGGTGGCGTGTACGTACCAGAGCCCATGTCGATGAAGGGGTAGTTGACCAGGACTAGTTTGTTGAAGTTGAACTTGTAAGTGAATCTCTTCCCTTTGGTCTTGTGGAGGATCCTCTTGTTGTAGTAGTATCTGAAGAGAGCAGAGAGAAGAGGGTTATCTTCCTGTCACCACGTTTAAATGCTCATCCCGTCATCACGCGTTCAGTTAGGTTTCATCGTGTTGATCTCGAGTCATCACAATAACACTGAATATACATAACAAATACACAGATTGCTCGATTATTATGGAATAGAGAGAAAACAGAGATGATACAGAGCGGAGTTTAACTGGGAGGAAATCCTGCAGCATGGGTCGCTCCGTGACCCACAGAGATCATTGACGTGCTCGAAATAAATGTGGTGAGGAACTACCATGTGACTGTATTGTGCTCACCTCCCTTTCAGGAGCTAAAAAGGTTCCCACCTCTTCAGTCCACAACTCGTATCAATCATTAACGACCAACTAATAAAAGAAAATCAACAATTCCTCTTTTTAAAATAACATAAATCACACTCAGCTTATTTTACCTCTATTTATTTTACCTCCGCTCAGACTCCGTCTTATCCAGGCGGCTCCTTTGGTAACATTAGTGCATTAGTCATTGTCAGTGCACACAGTGATGTAGAGGAGTGAACAGTAAGCTGTTGACAGCTCATCTCAAAGATGATAAAATGGCTCCCTGTGACTCAGCGATAGCCTGGGGACCAAACCACATTCATATTTCCTTTAAATAAAAACATCAGTGTCTCTCGGTCCATCGTGGCCACTTCATTCTGGAAAATGTAAAACGATATATTCATAATTTCTAGCTAACTGGTAGATGTGACGATACTTCAGAATGCAAAGTATTACAAAAAGCAAAACCTCAAGCAAACGGCTGAACCTGAACTCAGTACTGAGATTCAGTGACTTTTACTAACATAGGTGATAATTAACACGTACATGGCGAGCAGGCACAACACCCTGCACGCAGAGAAATAAAAACGTTACACACACGCACACACTCCAGAAGGTAAACAGAAATATTTGTGAGTGGGTGTTAACAACATCAGGCCTGTATATGCAGGGACGCTGAAGGGACATGTTGTTCGCAGACGTGTGGAAGGATGGATGGCACTTTGAATGAGTCGTAGAAAAGGCCACGCACGTACATGCGAAGAGAACACACACACTCTAACAGTATTGAGTGAATGTGTGACAGCCCGCCTCGCAGACTCGGCCCAGGCTTGTTCGTGGCCTCCTGCTCTTTTAGCACCAGCTTGAACTTGCTTAAAAAAAACTTTTAGCGTAAAGACTCAGCCTCCTCTTCGTACAGATGTCCGGGAAACACACTCACGGGCCTGGAGACGTGCCCGACTCTACACACATGTGCTTTATGTGCTTGACTGAACACACATGCAAACCAAAGGACGCTCACTTAAAAGACGCTGAGAAGCATCAATCAAAGGCTTCACATCTAACAGAGACAGAATTTGCCTCCACATACTTCAGACTTAATTAACAGCCCTTCATTTATATGGAAGGATTACAAACCACACAAAAAGACCTTCACAACATAGTTTGGCTCCAGCTGCCCCTTGATGTTAAACACTCACTGCGACCACAGAGAAAGCGACTGCGTCTGTATAAAACTGACTGTTAATATGCTGTTAAACCTCTGCGGGCTCGACTCCGTCTTAACGATACAAGTCGTTTAATTTAAGCCTCTGATTTGGGGATCTGAGTTATTTCTGTGCATTAAAGGCTTTTGATATGTTCTGTATAACTAACTTTGTCTCTAGATATAGTGTATAGTTTACCTTCTTCAACTATAACATTAACCGATGGTTAAATGTTGAACAGCTCTGTGATCAAAAACACACGTTCATACATCATCTCCTGCCTGTTTCTGAAAACAGCGCAGGTGTAAATGTATTGTTACGTAAAACAGTAAATCAATAAACAACGTGTTACATCAGCATATTGTCTTTTAAGTCACAGTCTAATCAGTGAAGGGATGCTCAGTGTATGTATGCAATATATATATATATATATAAAATCATGTGTGTGTAAGTAGAAGATTAAAAAAAAGGTTTAAGCAACAAACAAGACGCAGATGGGCTGGAGGAGGGCTGACATATAACAAGGTGTTAAGTGTACGTGTGTGTGTATCTGTGCGTGTGTGGTGACGAGGCAGTGTAACTAGTCATCACCATGGCAAACTATAACCCACACCAACCTACAACACAGGCGGCGACACCGATGACTGGCTGTGTGCATGTGTGTGTGTTTGTGTACATGATGATGGGAGATCAGGCTGCTGTCTAAATAAAGCTCCGCAGCATCCCACATGTCCTCCGTGGAGCGGAGAGGTGTGCGTTTCTAAATCCACCGCCACCCGGGAGTTTGAGCACGTCGTGCAGATGTGCATTCACAACAAAACACCAGGTCGTTTCTCTTTGTAACTTCCACTCTGTTGTAATTAAGCTCTTATGAGTATTTACACTTAAACAAATACTGACGACAGAAGATAGATTCATTTCTTGAAAATGAGCCCGTGACCTGTGAACAGAAAATTTAAAAGAGGAACAGAAAGTACTGCATCATTAGCTAGCTTGACAGTAAAAAAAATGAATTGTAGAGGAAACAACAAACACATAAGAGAAAAGTTTCCTCAGCCTTCTGTTCTTCAGCTTCCATTTAAAACAATTTTAAACGAAGTGCAGCTACCTCAGCCAGGGCGGTTACAAACACGACGAAACAGATTTTCATGAAACTTGGTGGAAAGATGGCGACACGGGTCAAGAAAGATTTGGGAGACTGTAATGTGCACGTTACCAAAGTTTCCAGCATAATTCACATCAAATGAAACCAGAACAAGTGTTCGCCAGATTAAACCGTAATTTAAATAACTGTAAGTTGCAGCCCCCAGGTAAAAAAAAGAGAATAATCCAGATAAAGCTGATTTAAATGTGGGTTCATGTGTTGGTATATATTTTCAGCCGCTGTAACGTAACCTGTGGTCTGTTCTGCTGTCAGATTACCACAAATAGACTGGACCCATTTTAAAATCAGTCTTGTACACTCCACTGAGTTTATCACAGTTCATCTGGAGTTCAAAACAAAGAGGACTCTAGTTCCTGAAACACGAGGCCGACATGATGAAACCATCTGGGCTCTTTGAGAGTATCCGACTCGTCTGATATCCACTTCGCGACTTGAACACGAAGCCAAATAACTTGACTTTTGTTTCTTTCAACCCGTTTCATCTGCTGTCCCTCACCTTAGTGCTCGGCTGAGCTTGTCATAGTTCATCTGGGGTTTACACTTCCTCGCCCCCCATAAGCGGGCCACCTCATCTGGGTCCTTGATGACAAACTCGCCATAGTCTCCCTGCCAGGCGATGACGTCATGGTACTCCTCTTTCCTCAGCAGCTCCAGGATGAAGTGCCACAGCTGGATCTGTCTGGATCCCGGGCTCGACTCGGGCTTGTAGGCCCATTCCGGAAAAGCAAACCCTGCGGGGACAAGAGAGGAGGGGTCAGGTGGAGGCAAATTCAAAGAAAGGAAGGAAGGACGCAACATGAATACAAATGCGAAGGTTGGTTTTTTTTTGTGTCTCTGGGAATAAGAATGAGACAGAAAATGTAGTTTCAGTGACGTGGATGTGGCAGCTCGGGGAAAGAAGTAGGACAAACAGTTATAAGTGTTGTCTGGGGCATTTGTGAAGGGATACAAGACATGAGACTGTTTGGAGCCACAGATTTAATACATACATTGAAATCTGAAACACCTTTGGGTCTAAGGCTTTCCTGAAAAGCTGCTCTAGTGGTTCCAGGAGCGCGCTGATCGCATTAATAGACATTCACAAGCATTTCGGCTAAATCTGCTCCCACAGTCTGCAGTCATATCAATCTTCACTGGTATCAGCATCAAAGCTGGAGAATCAGCGCTGTTATTACAGATTAACAGGCCTTGAGATACGAGGAGACAAAACATAAGCTTTGGTTTTATAACTACTATCTGAACACACACACACACACACACACACACATACATACATGAGCGCGTGCACACACACTATTATCCAACAGTTAAAAGTATAGGCTTTGTGTTGTAAAGCAGTGGGTGGCAGTAAAAGACTCAACAGCACTTCAACACAAGGCCAAGAGAAAAGGCTGAATAGCAAAGGCATAGTGCGCACACGCACGCACACACACACACAAAGACACACACACCTCATTAGGACCAGATGTGCCTTGGCAATCAGGCTGAGAAAGCTGAGGATGGGAAACATATGGGCACAATATAACAATGCTGAATTTTGTGTGTGTGTGTGCGTGTTTATGAAACAGTAAAAAAAAAAAAACCTAAATACCAAGGTTACACTGATTTTCCCACACTCCATACAGGCCATCACCTGCGCGTACATTAAAATGACAGCGACCTGCGAACGACGATGTTCTCAAGGTTGACGGACTTCAACTCCGGTGAGATCTGGCCGAGTGACATAATGATGGATGGAATGAAAATCGACGCATCGTATGTTACGTGATCTAGATCTAACGAGAGCCAAGAATCCGACACGTTAAAGTAGTGTTTTGTTGCTTTGTTTACGTTGCACAGGAAAGTGCTACGGGGAAGAGAACAGCACATCACAACGACCACATAAAAGAACAAAAGACCAGATGAAAAACAGATAAGACGACATAAAAACTACAAAAAAAAAAAAAAACTTGTAAAAGAGGTGAAGGAAAAAAAGATGACACACCTGGCAACTAAACTCCAGCGTTAAGTGAACTGTATCTAGATATTGTTCCCAGATGGTGATTAAATCAATTATGACTTTTTCCATTATTTACACAATACGTGCTTTCGTGTGTTTACACGGATTAGACTCCTTTTTTAAGAGACAAACAAAAAACGTCAGGTGTCCCTTTTATAAACTACGCAGCGTCCCTGATATTAACTTTTCAACACATTGTTTGGGTCATGAGGAAATTAATCTGACACCAGGTCAGTTCGAGTCTTTCAATGCAACAAAGACTTTAATGTTGCTGCTTGAAAAACTACTGCCGGTGAATCACAACATTCCTGCCCACAGAAAATAAAAACTGCACTTAGAAATAGCCTGACTTTGCAGATATCAGTCGCAATTTACCGACATGTTCCATTAAATTTCGGACCGCGGAGATGCATGCGTTAAGAAACTTGGCAGGAAATTGTCACGTGTTTCCCCTTAACCAGATACAGATCACATTTTAATAGCAGGTGTAAATGGAGACAAAGTGAGTCATGGAAAAATTAAACAAACTGAACACGGTGAAACCAAAGTCCACCATCAGGTGTGCAGCTGCGTCTGTTAATGTCACTAATACGAGGCAGCGGCAGAAACGGACTCAAAGAGGGAAAGACAACTAACGACGGTTGTTGACCTGAGAACTATGAGACGCCACCGAGACAGAGACAGACAAGAGACTGAAAAACTTCAGAAACAGTCTTGAAAGACTGAGAAATTAAATTATAGGAAAGTGATGTCCTAACACTTGAAAAATATCTTACAAAAGACGTCTTATGGAGGAGAAGAAAAAAAAATAAAAATCCAGAAAAACAGATCTGCTCCTGGTGACTAACAAACCACATGCTGCTATCTGATCTCCTATGGCGCTCCGAGATTGAGCCCAACAACAGACAAGCTGGCTGCAATAGTTGATAATGGCCATTTGAAGGCTGATTACTAATGGGGGTACAAGCTTATGATTCACACACACGCGGACAGCGAGGCTGTTGTCCGCGGGGACAGGTTCGGCTTTGTGACACAGACACAACGCGGCTGAATGACGGGGTACGCTGGTGATTAGTGCAGTAAAAAATAAAAAACACGTGTACATCCACATGCGCGCAAGCACACAACACAGGAGGAGTGCATTAAATTAAAGTGGGCGGACTAATATCTCTCTCACACACAAAGTACACAAACACAGGTTTAGTGGGGAGAGGTAAGTGGGTTCATGCGTGGGTGCACAGAGCACACAGACAAAGGCCACAGGAATAGCAACCATGCCCACTGCATGTGCGTGTTGCAGATGTCCCTGCTGACTCATATCTTGTTCATTTGTCGTTCACAGATTCCGCCTTTCTCCCCTCAACACCACTGCCATCTCTTTTCTTGCTCTCTTTTCTCTTTTCATCTTGTCCCTCCCTCGCTCAGCCTCTCCTATGACACACGGTCTCCTAGCAACAAAAGCTTTTAGCGCTAAAAATAAACGGCCGAGTCACGACAAACACAAAATATGATTCAATTACAGAAACTTGCCAGTGGAGTTAAGAGTTGGGGCGCAGATCCAGGGACCTGCGACGTGAGGGTGCGATCTGTCTGACCGGCGGAGACCTCTCGGTGCAGCGGCGGCTTCATTGCCTCGTCCCAAAAGCACTGACGCACCTTATTTTAACTCCACTCACTGAACTCAAGCTTTAATGAACATTAACAGGACTCCAAAAATCTGTGAAGTGCGACCTCTGCAAGGCATCTACCTTAATCCACCTTAAACCTGGTGGTAACAGTTTTGTGCATAGTGGAAACCCTGAGATGTTAATACAGTAAGTGACTAACTTACTAGAGATAAACTCATTTCCTGGTTATCTGCAGCCACAACTTTTAATATATAAATCTCTTAATTCCTATTGGTGGTGTTTGAATTTTATAGATGCAGCCACAAAGCATAAACGTTACGCATCATCTGGTGTGTTAAACACGACAGAGGGGGAAGTTCGATATGATGCACAAGGCGTGACTTGTTATCTCTTCCTCAGCATTGCGGGAGCGCAGTTATCTAATACGTTCTTATTCAAACTTGAGCTGCATAGAAAGCGTCTTAAATAGGCTGTTTTCCTGTGTTGTGTAAAACTGGCAGAGCTTTAACAACTTACTGGACATGTCACTTAAATGTTATGTGCAGGAGTAAAATGAGTCTGTGGCGCTGAAAGCACAAGAGGTCTTGGATGCGGAGCTGCGAGTTAGTGAAAACTGGAGTAGACAAATGAACCCAGAGGGCCTTTGTACAAGCTCCGCTCCAGACAGGAAGAATTTCTGATTGTTAGAGGCGAAACGCACCATTTCAGGCCTCGCTGGATTCTATATATAGCCAAGAACAGGGAAAGAAAAACTCATTTACTATTAGGCTGCACTCCTGAGACACCTGCGTTTTCATTTCCAAGAGAAACACAGGATCTGTGCAGCAGCAATCAGTGGATGAGGGGGTTTTAACTCGCTGGTCTGCTTTTCTTAGGCGCTCTGACGTCACCACTGTTGGAATAGCGCTTGTAATAACCGATAGCCATCATTAGGGTATTGTCCAGAAGGCCTGCAGCCGCTGAGACTAAACACAAACGACCTCCTCTTGTACTTCTCTTTCGCTCTCTCCCCCAACAACTTTCTTTAACATGGTGTTCCATCTCTCCCCCCGTTTATTTTTCCCTCCCTTCCTCCTATTCTTTGGCGGCTCTATATTTAGCTGCTGCAAAGGTCGGTCCGTGTCTGTCTGCAGGGTAATGATTCAGGGGCACGGCGACCAACACATCGAGGTAAGAGGCCAGGCTAAAAGACCGGGGCCTAGCTGGCTACTGAAAACTGGATGGGGATTTTATCAGGGACGGGATCAGGACAACACAGAAAGGCAGGAAATAAATGAGTACAGAGCAGGAAACAGGGAATCTCCGCTGGGCGTAAATGGTGCTGGCATGTGCAGTGGAGAAAAACACACAAATACAATCTAGATTAAAAAAACGTCAAATAAAAAAGTCAGTATTGAGCTATATACATTTTGCAGAGGTGGCCCGCTGATGCAATGTCCTGGAGTCCCAATTACTCGACTCTGCAGAGGGCGTTTGATTTTAAGCAACAGATACAGAAAGCGGAGTCGCATAGCAACACACGGCCAAGGTGAAACAGAAGAAACAAGGTGGATTAAAGTAGCTAACATTGAGGCAGTGTTTTATTGTATTTACTCTGACTGCCAGTGTACACTGCACATGCACCACCCAGGTGGGAGAGCGGACAACCCCACCCCTAGGTTCATACAAAGACCATTTTAAATCAACTCAGTTTAAGAAGACGAATCATGAACTGTTCAAACTTGTTTATCTGGATTTCCATTTTCTTTTTTTTGCTTTGCTGTAAAAACGACCCATGTACAATGCCGGGATCACAACAGACCATCTAACACAGCTTTACTGAGGAGTTCAGGGCCTCAAACTGCTGTTTAAAAACTCTCTGCGCCTCATTGAGGCAATCTCATAATTACCCTTAAAGGATGGAGTTAAGATTCGAGGAGCCAGTGGCTTAAATCCAGGGAGGAGTCCGAGACACAGACGGGACGAAGAGGAAATCAGGTGGAAGGGTAAAGTGGAGGAGGAAGAAGATTGAAAGAGAGAAAGGGCAGAAGGAGAAAAAGAAACAAAATCCAGCAGAGATCAAAAGCAAAGGAGGACGCCGTCTGCAGGTGCACGGCATAAACCT